GCCCATTAAGTAGGCAGGATTAGTTTGGCGTGGCTGATTAAAGTTCCGGAAACACGCGGCACTGGTCACTTGGACCAAGCGTACATACTCTGTTTTTACCCTCTTACTCTGGCCACTGCTTCTCGCCCACTTCCACTCGCTTTGTACTGGCTAACCCCAAACGATAGTCCAAAGGAAGTTGTGGAAGGGGTTTTGACTCAAGATATATGACTTTGAGTGCATACAAAAGTGTCGGAGGAACTTTATCTGTTTGATCAGATATGTCAATTCAACGAATTCTCTCTGTTTGCAGTGGTGAAAAATGACTGTTTCAGTGAATTTTCAAAGGATTTTCAACATTCTAAAATTGTGGTGACTCCAGTCTACTGCATGCATACAAATGCATTTCTTTAAAGATTGAAATTGTCTTCAATCTACTTCATTTGTCAAAATTTTTTAGCTGTTCGAGTGAGATTTTAATGGATTTCGTCATTTGACATTCACAATTTGATAATATTAGTAGTCAATTATTCCATAAAAATAATAATTATAAGAGAGAGGAAATATTGAACAATTATGAATTACTGTACCATCTCCAAAGAGAATAATAATCGTGATACCGCAATTTTAAAACAATGGAACTGACGGTAGAACGAGATTTAATAAGGCGGATTTAGGGAAGAATTGAGACAAGCCCCGGACACTGTTAATACGCTCAACCCATTCCATCCCTCCTGGACCAAGCTATTTATCTTGCTCAACGGTTTGCGACCCGAGCACTCCCGTTAATAAACGTAAAACGCACTTTTATCCCTTATTTTAAATGAAAGGAAGGCATTTCACTCACCTCTGATGATTATTGTTAGCCGAGGGCATGGGGGTGGGCACACGGGGCGGTAGTACTGGAATAGCTTTCCGCCTTGCATTGTTAGACTTGTGAACGGTCGGTGTGACACGGCCGCTTGGCGCTATCCGCCCAGCCGTTCGCGGCCTCTCCGCTGTCATGTCCATTATCAATCTGAAAATCATTATAAAGTTTTTGAATTAAAATTTTTCCTCGAGATGAAAGTCGTTATTTTTAATGGGGATATTTCCAGATTTTTTTTTCGTCTCTTTTATTCGTTTATTTATGTCAAATCATGTCTTAATGTTAAAGAACACTTGGAAAAGGAACGAAACGATGAAATTGCGGAATTTTTTACGTACTGAGCTTCTTGAAGTCTGAGCAATCCATTTCAATAATTTGTTCACGAAAAAAAAAATGTAGAAAATATCCCCATTCTGATAGTGAAGTAAATGAAAAAATTTTAGTTCTCGTTTTTACTTCGTCTCGCTCGAGAGTCAAGCGAAAGAAAAACATTTGACATCGTCTGTGTCTCTTCAAAGTATCTCTCCAGCACTCTTGATTCTACAGCATCGAATACTCTTTTAAAAAAATCATGGAAAAAGCAAAAGTCCATTGAGACGAATCCATGAGCGCCATATACTTATAATCGTAAAAGTACCGCTCGCAGAAGCAACACGAGTAGTCTGACATGAGGGAGTCATTAATTGGAATTCCGTCACGCTAATACACACATTCACGATTCTACATACTGTTTTATACACTCGGTATGCATGTTTACCGATATTCATTGGTCGGGGTATGTTGGGTCTTATCGTGGATAAATCGGCTGCAGAGGGCACGCATTTAATTACAAACGCGCGTGGCGTTACGCGTCACTACTCACTAGTATAAAAGACTCATTTTGTTTGGATTTTTTCTTTCTACTTCTCGTTAACCAATGGGTGAAATCAAAAGGAAATGGGAGTGGAACATTCGATATCAATGTAATTTTTCAAGGGGTTTGAAGCTAAACGGGTCCAAACAATACAAAAAAAGCCTCCTGTCAACATACAATTCGCTCGGTCACGGTCAAAACCTCTCCCCGAAATATGTGTCACGCAAGTATCTTTTTTATTATCCCAAAATGGAGCTATACCACGAGTCATTCTGAGGGACTCGAAAAGACGACGACACGGCGCCAAGAGGACCCCACAGCGCACTCTGCGAAAGATACAAGACGTTCCGCGCGTGACACTGCCGCATCTTGTCTACCATGTCACCGACCCCATCGAGAAAATGACCCAAGCGCCTCATTCTCCGAAAGCAGTACACCGAGAGAATATTTTTTTTTCTCTTCTCCTTGAGAGCTGTTCTTTGCTACAAAACACCAGACCATTCTCACCATTTTTCCATCCTGATACATGTGTCTGTGAATATTTCCCACTCTCGAGATTGAATAACAAATGAATGTCCCTCCGAACATCTCATTTTCCCGAATTTAGAACGAACATTCAGTGTCATGTGTCAATGGGCTGCGCAAATTAGAACAATGCCCGTATACTGTTAAAAAAATAATCAGGTTTACCCAAGCGAGATGTCTCAATGCACCCTCCATCACTCCGCGACACGATAGCCCGTCTCAAAAATGAAAAGCAAGAGAATGATAATGAAAACTGGCGAATTGAAAAGAAATAAAATTAACCGATGTTTTTTCCGTTCTCAAAACACTAGACCATTCTCGCCATTTTCCATTCTCATACATGTGTCTGTGAATATTTCCCACTCTCGAGATTGAATAACAAATGAATGTCCCCCCGAACATCTCATTTTCCCGAATTTAGAACGCACATTCAGTGTCATGTGCCAATGGGCTGCGCAAATTAGAACAATGCCCGTATACTGTTAAAAAAATAATCAGGTTTACCCAAGCGACATATCTCAATGCACCCTCCATCACTCCGCGACACAATAGCTCATCTCAAAAATAAAAAAGCAAGAGAATAAAAATGAAAAATGATGAATGAAAAAAAAATCAGGGAAAAGCGAGACGACGCCAACGGGTGTTGATGGGTGCCCGAGAGAGAGATGAAAAACGGGGGAAGGGGTGGGAAAAAAAAGGAAAACTAACAACTGAGGGAACAAGTCGTTGCAGTATCGTTGAAAACAATGTGGCGCGTCGTCGAGGAGTGGAGAGTACACACGAGTGATCCAAACCCCATCCCCTCGTCCTTCCGCAACTCGCATTCTCACCTTCTGCACTGACGACTACACGATGCCTCTTCTTCATACACGACAACGGGGGCGGGAGGGGAGGGGGTATGCGTTTGGGGCGATGAATAGAGTTCCTGCATCTGTGCTGTTTGTCAACAGAACAGAACTCAAACGACGAACATTTTTCCTTCCCTTTATTACTTTCGAATATATTTTTCATTCTCGTATCTTCTCACCCCCCCCCCCCCCCCCCCCCCCCCCCCCCCTCCCCCCCCCTCTCTCCCTCTCTCTCTCTCTCTCTCTCT